TTTTTCCCTTTTCACCGGGAGAAATTTATACGCGAGCCTCCCCCCAGGAGGAGGCGCTCTCTTTCCGATTGTTTCGCAAGAGTAGCGTTTCGAAAGCCGCGGTCGTCCGAGGACTCGAGAAATCCCCGGCGATTTGCGAGCGTGTCCCCGGGAAGAGGTGTGAGCTCGAATTCCCGGGGCCTCGGCGTGCAGATGTAGCGTGCCTCGGGTAAATGCAAATGGGGACGATAAAGTGCGAGGGCAGCTACGAGGTGTAAGTTCTTTCGTAGACGAAAGAGGAGGAACGGTCGAGGCGCTCGCGTGGGAAAAGGTTTTAAGGATTACGTATTCGAGTCCGCTCGGTTTCGGGCCTCCTCGATAACGCTAAGTGAAGTCGATTTAATGCAAACAATCCTCAGGAATTTCATTCCGATTTATTGTAATCGCTCACGGCCGCCGAATCGCGTAAAAGTCCCGCGGTTGCGGTACTACCCCTCCCCGGCGAATTTAAACATTTTTAATCGTGGCCCCCATAAATCGTTAACCTAATTGCTCGGCCGCTCGAATTGCGCGGATATAGAGCCTCCGTAGAGAAGCGAGCGCCGATCCTCGGAAATAGCGATGAAATTCATTCGGCCATTAATTAAAGCCGGCTGACGGTAGGGAACGCCGATCCTAAATTGTCCGCGGAATCGCCGCCCGAATTTCGTGACACAGAAATTAAACCGGCGATACATTTTTCATCGAGTCGGGAGAAATTTCCGCCCCCGCTGCGTTATTCACCCGATTTCGACTTTACAACCCTCCTGATTGTAACTTTCCCGCGGTAAGATAAAAAGTATCGCCACGTGGAGGTATCGCCGGTCGCAGGCCGATTCCGCCTCGAATTCGGACTTCGGCTCGGTCGGTAAGGTAGACTCCCCTTCTGAATTTCCAAAGTCGCTATTACATCCATCTCTCATTTACCGTGTTAACCTGAAATAACGGAAAATACTCCTTGTCTCGAGTGTGATTTTCCCGAGGCGTTAATTAAATTCCATGGGTCACTTATCGTCGTCATTAAATCTCCTCGTGTAATCCCCTCTTAGGGTAGACTTATTAGTCCTCTCTCTCGTCGAATTACTTATTTAAATAAATATATAGATAATTATTCTCGCCGGCTATCGGGGTCCCTTCCCTGCGTTATTTTCCCAGGCGACAGCGGCTTAACCGGTAAGGTAGGCCGCGCTAACGAGAGTCCGCCTCCGAATAAATTGCCGGCCAATTATGCGGATCTACGAGCCGTCCTCGCGAATGTGCTCGCCCGGAATACCGGCGTCGCGAATTAGCCCCGCGTGTGCCTCGGCCGCGGGTATTCCGCGCGGTTAATATTAGTCGGGTGCGCCGCGGTCGCGGGGAAAGCGCGCCGCCATTACGTTCGGCCGCCCTTGCGCTTTCCCGGCGAGCCGGAATAATCTCAACTTGGGGGGACTCCGATTGGAATATCGCCTAATTCCCCGCCGCACACTTACCTAGGGCCGGACCCTTCGCCTCGTATCGACTGCGAAAACTGCAGCGCTCTGCACAGCGTCCGGCCAGGTGATGCGCCTGCGGCCCGCCAGATGGCAAGACGGCTCCTCCGCGCCTCCGCTCCCCGAAGATCAATACGAATTGGATTTTTCTCCAATTCCTGCACGATGATTCGAGTCACTCCCTAATAGGTCTCCAGAGTGACGAAATACCTAGCGTTACTTCCAGGATGAGTTCATACCTTATGAGTTACAAGGGGCAGGGGGAAATTCAAATCCGGCGCTGCGATCGATCCCGCAAGATCCAGAAAGTTCTGACCGAATATTCTGGGATAGTTCTTCAGATTGTAATTTAGGAGATGGGATGAAAAGATAATTGGCAGGATAAAAAAAATAATTGCGGCGGAGGTGGCGGGTGGAATTCGATTTTACTGCGGGATTTATTATGTGTATGTTTATTCTACAATTTTCTTTTCTCCTTTCTTTAACTGGGGACGTCTCTTTGAAATCCCTAGATACCTAGCCACGTGAAAACCGTCGGGGGATTCAACATTTTCTGGGCGTAATTCTCGGGAAGGATGCGTTTGCATCGCATCGGGTCGTCGCGCTATAAAAGCTGTCTCGTACATCACGAATTGATCCCAATAGCTGCGACCCCCCGCGGACAAACCAACGGCGAAGGTACAGGAGTCGGTCGGGATATAACGAGACGAATCGAGGGAGAAAATTGTATCCGGGCTAGGTGGGATTATCGGTTTAAAATCACCGGCGTCGCCTTTCACCGGGTGAAAGACGGCCTGGGAATTTCAGGTTTTCTCGGAGGATCCGACGTAGTCTTATCACGCCCCGATCCGATCTCTCCTGGCGATATCTATCCGCGAGTATTCGGGATGCGGATTAAATCGGCCGGCCCGATGCGAATCCAGGCCGAAAGAATGCAGTAACGCTGCCTCGAGCGAGCGATCGGGCTTCGTCTTCATTTTGGATCGCTGCAAGAAGTTTAAAGATGGCAGCTCGTTGGCCGTCGGCGTCCCGGTTGTTTTTATTGGCAGTCGAGGAGATGGCGGAGAGGCCGCAACGAGAGTGCTTCAGCTCCTGAACCCTGAATAGGGCCTCGACAACCCGTCAGAATTTATTAACGACGTCCGCAGTTAGTTTCCCTCGGTTAATTATTGTATGACGCTCGCGAGTTTGCCATAAAATATATGAGTTCGTCTCGAGGAAGAACGGGCGGAAAGGGCGCCTTGGGCGCCGCCATTTTGGAGAACGCGTCGCCTTAGGAAGTCCGGCAAGGCAGTCGAGAGAGTATTCCCGTAGAATTCGGCCGGTAGCTCGTTAGAGTCGGCCTTTATGGGAATAGTCTGGACGTTAAATAAACCCCTTTGCGGCTGGTTATCTTCGATGGGGCTTTAAGAGGGGCATTAGGCCCATTTCGGTTGCCTGCTAACCCCCACCGTGAGTGGCACCTCACACCCCCTATACTCGACACGCGCCCTACCGGTGCCGTAAGCTTAAAGGACCTGACTTTTACGATTCTGTTCAAGTGGTCATAAAACCAGAGTTTACTGCCGTCATGATTTTCAAGCAGACGGTCCGCCACCTGTCGGAGCCCCATGAAAGTGAAGATCGGGTGTGTATATATATCCCTTCGTTAAACCCCGGTTTACGCGAAACCGGGCCTTTCGTCCCGTTTTCGGCGCCTCGTGCCACCTTAACCTATAATTTCGAGACCGACGTCGAAATCGTCCCCCATTGAAGCGATCCCAACGTGTATTTTCGCGATCGAAATTCCGACCGGAGAAAAATAATTCCCCCACGTGATCGAAACTGTACGGAAAATTCTTCATTTAATTTTCGAATCGTTGCAGAATCACTTGAGGGGCACCAATCGCAAGACTCCACGATGACGTTCGAAATTAACCGGAACAAGCGGAGAAGGCCGATGGACCTTGAACGGCTCGCCCAAAAACCCCGTAAGTCTCGATTTGAAATTAACATATCGAAAAGCTTCCGTAAGATTTGAATTTTGTCCGGAGCAAAAATCCCTTTTGCGCTCCCTGCCCTCTGATCGAAGTGCATCGATCGGAACGAAGGGTGATTTACGATTACTTCTTCGTAGGCGAGAAAAATCGTTAAAAATCGCTACAAATCTACGGTCGAATTTCGCGCTTGGCGGTTGACGGGAAATCGTCGGGCGGAAATCGGAGCGTCTTGTCCCGTTCGTTGGAGTCGCGGTCGGACGACGGGCCGTCCGGCCGGAGCTTATGACGGGCGCAGAGCCGGGCTCGTTACGGTATAATTTACGAGGTGCGAACCACGGGGGCGATAATCCCGCGACATTTACATCCCAATAAACAGCGGGCGCGCGATACCGGCCGGGCCTCTCTTTTACGACCTTTTAATCGTACGACCGTCTAATTGGCCCGTAAAGCATAAACGGCCCGTAAAGGCGGGTTACGATAGCGATACGGCCGTCCGTCCGCATCGTGAACCCCCGCGACCGGTTGCGGGGCATTTCCGGCGGTTCCGCCGGGCGTCGGTCCGGGCGGCAAGGAGCGCGCGCGCGCGCGCGGCTCCGCCGGGAAGGCGCGCGCCACGGCGTCGATGTTCTCCCTCCGACCGTCCGAAGGGGTCTGGGCGGTTTAGTTCGGCGCAGGGTCCAGAGGTGGCGGTAAGCGTCCTCGGCGGGCCTCGCGCCACGCGGGCGCCCGTGAGTCCTCTCGCGCCCGCCGCCGCGGAGCGACTGGAAGGGGCGAGTGGGCGGAGCCTGGCGGGGCATGGGCGTCGTTCGGCCGGGGCACTACTTTCCCGCGGCGGAGGAACTCCGGAGCGTGGCGGCGCGGCTCTCGTGACGAATTCAATTCTGATTGGTCCTTAAGCATAACCTCCCCCTTCGCACCCCGTTTCTTCCCCTTCGACGCTTCGAGGTCCCCTTGGCCGGCCGGAGCGTCTCTCTCCGTCTATCGGCGCGCGCTTAGCGGCATCTCTCTCCCTCTCTCCCTCCAGGGGTCTCTCTCTCTCTCGTCTTCTTATCTGCTCGGGCGGCACGGTGCGCGCGGGTACGAATTTAATCCGGCGGCACGTCGTTGAGTTACTAGGGCGCTCCCCGGGAGGAGGCGGGGAGGGGGGCCGAGGAGAGCGAGAGCGGCCGGCGCGGAAGGGAGAGCGACGCAGACGGAGAGAGGGAACGGAGGCGGGAGAGGGCCGAGGTGGGAGAGAGCGAGAGAACTCGGTTATCACGGCGGGGAGGGGCACGGCACGCGAGGGACAAGGAGGGAAGACCGCCGCGCGGGGTCTCGTGCGGAGGGAGAGAGACGGACCGAGCGGGACCGCCGACCGAGGGAGGGTGCGAGCGAGAGGGCGCGCGCGCTCCGTGGGCGAGAACGAGGGAGAGAGAGAAAGAGGAAAAGAGAGACGGAGAGAGAGGGAGGCCGCGCGCGAGAGACGGACGGCGGTACAGAGTGGCGGTACACAGGGCGCGAGAAAAGCGGTAGTGTGCCGTGGACCACCGCACTGGCATACCGTGGGTTCGTTACGATCCTCTCGCACGGCCAGTACACGCCAGTACACGGGCCAGGACACGGCCCCGTATACACACAGGAGAGAGAGCCGGCCCCGGCTGGGAACCGCCGATATAATAGTCCTATTCGCATTTGCTACCAGTGATAGTGAAGTGCGGACTGGAGAGCCAGAGAGAAAGAGAGAGAGAGCGAGAGAGAGAGACAGGCCCTCGAGACAGGGCGGAAGAGAGAGAGAGATAGAGAGGAGAGAAAAAAAGAGGGAAGGCCCGACCGAGAGCGGACCGGCGTGTCGCCGATAATCAAGGTCGCGTCGCCGATCGCGCTCCGTTCCTCGGGGAGGTCGCGTGCCGCGTCTCCCGCTCTTCGGACACTCCCGGGGAGAGACCGACCGAGAGCGCGGGATTTTATGGCTCGTCTTATTACCCGGTTTATTGCCTCGTAACCTTTTAACGATCGTCGCTCTCCGCAGCGCCGGTCCTCGTCGCCGTCGACGTCGTCGCGCGCGCCGCGCCGCTGGGAGCCGGTGACCATAACGAGGCCGTAAAACCGCACCATGAGTCCCATTCCGAGTTACGCTCCTAAGGCCTATTGACACCGACATCGGTCCCACCCACGGCCCGATGACTTTTACGAGCCCTTAAGCGGTTTAATGCCCCTGGCCTGCCCCGACCAGTCTCCTACCTGCCGCGACGGCGAGTGCGCGCCCCCCGCGACGCCCCAGGACCCTGCCGAGTGACCCGAGACGCGGGGCCAGCGGCACCGAGGGGGCCCGGCCGCCGCCCCAGGACCTCCGCGAGGTACCCGATACTACCGGAGACCACCGGACCGAGTGCGCCGATCGGGTCCGAGGAGCCGTCAGGGGGCTCCCAGGGGCTGATCGCGGGAGACCGCGTTCTCCGGCTGATTCCGGGGGACTACAGCGGGTCCCACCGGCGCCCATCGGCCCCCGCCCACGGGGAGCCTTCCTCTCGACGCGACCTCCCGGTGGCCCGGGATACCCGGAACGATGAACTCGTACTTTGAGCAGAGCGCCGGGGGCTTCTACGGCGGCCACCACCACCAGACGGGGGCCGCCGGCCAGCACCACGACCCCGCCACGGCGGCCGCCTACCGCAGCTTCCCCCTCGGCCTGGGCATGTCGCCGTACGCCTCCAGCCAGCACCACCATCACACCTCCTCGTCGCTCGGCATCCATCCGGCCTCCGGGGCCAACACCAGGCCGCCCCAGGACTCGCCCTACGACGCCAGCGTCGCCACCGCGTGCAAGCTCTACTCCACCACCCCCGAGGCCGCCGGCCACACGACCTCCTCCTACTCGTCCTCCGGCAGCAAGGACTGCAAGCAGCAGGACCAGGCCGCCGCCGCCGCGGCCGCGGCTCACCAGAACGGATACGCGGCCGTCATGGCCGCGGCCGCCGTCAAGGACGTCTGGCAGTCCGCCACCTCCGCCACCAACGGGCAGTCCAACTCCGTCGTCCGGCCCTCCGCGTGCACCCCCGAGGGCACGCGGGTCGCCGGGTACGGCGGCCTCGTGGGCGGCGACCCTGCCTCCAGCCCCGGCAACAACGGCTCCTCCAGGTCCCTCGCCTCCTCCTGGAACACCTGCAGCCTTAACTCGCCCGCGAGCCAACCGGTCGCCACCCAACTGCACCAGCAACCCACCGGCAACCATACCTTCTACCCCTGGATGGCTATAGCAGGTGAGTTTGCATTCATAACCACCCCGGGCACCGGGGATTATCATAACTGCCGGGGGGAGGGTGACGCGCGCTTGATGAGTTGCCGGAGACGGGGTTCGGGGACGTCCGATGATTCCGGACACCGGGCTAGGAGCGCGGCCGATGACGATGTCGACGTGATCGATGCCGGTGACGGTGGTCACCGCGTGGGTGGACTTCGTTGGGGTGGGTTTCGGCGATATCGGGTCCGATGGACCCCGCGACACGTTTTTCCACGATTTCCCCCTGTGTTCCATGTTTACCCTCGTTTTCAGCGAGACACTTGGTTCTGGTACCTCGTGGCTTGCAACGAAGCGTGTGGTTGTTTCGAGAAGGGGTCCTTTGGGGAGGGAAAAATTTGACCGGTTAATCAGGGAGAAGGAATAATTTGGCTCGGGTCGGTAGCTGAATGCAAGGTTGCAGTTAATGGACGGGGAGGTTATGCCGGGAGCGGATAGCCGGCTGACAGACTTAGGAGTGAATTGTGGGAATCGCCGCCGCGTGGCGGCAGGAACGTTCCTCAACGGTGTTTGTTTTGTCGGCGAAGGAGTCGTAGAGCGGCGCACGAGCGCGCGGTGCGTAACGCGCGATAAATTGCGCCGGTCGGGTGTTCCCATTGAGTGGAGGAATAAATCCCGAAGAGGCGGCATCGCGTTACCTTTGCCCGAATTGCCGCCGGAGGGGGGGCGCGAGTGTTTACCGAGGGGGCTGCCTCCGCGTCGAATCTCCGGATGATCCGTCCCGATCGCACCTCGGGCTGCTCCACGGTTCCATAAATTGTCCCGAGGATAATTCCCAATCGGGTGTAAAGATCTCGAGGAGGACCCCGGGGTCCCCCTCGTCCCCCCAACTCGTCATTAGCCCGGCACCCCGGTCGAATTCCTCCTTTATTATATTTCCACCTTGCCCGTACACAAACCCTGGAAAGAGAATCGAATCTCCATCAAATGGAGAACGGACCCCCAGTCAGAGCCCAACGTCGCGCCCGCAACCCCCGAAAACACCCTCCAAGCCACCCCGTACCCCACCATTCATGCATCCCGACCAATCCTGGATCTAATCGTCTCGGGGGGTGACGTCGACCATCCCGAAAGTCTTGACCAGGTTCGCGGGGTGCGTCGGTACGTACGCCCAGGAACGTACACCGGTAACGAACGGTGGGCAGAATGGAGTCAAGTGCGTGTAAAATCGTCGGGTACACGGGTATAATGGGGACTCGTCCAATTGGGGTTCAAGTGGCTTCCCCGTGAACGCACTCTCACCCCTCCGGAACCCGAATTCCGGTAGTCAGCTGTTTCCACCGTTCTGCCCCGGCGTGGGGACCGACGGCCCCCCCTTTCTCTCCCCCTCGTTCCGACGCACTTCTCGTCGCCGGCAGATATAATCGCTCCTAAAGCGAGAGAGGCCTCTCTGGCCTGGTCTCACTCTTCCTTCCCCACCCAGCTGGGTCTCCGACGGATCTGAGCGGGTCGCTCTCTCCGTCCGTCCTTTTTTTCCCCGCAGTTGGTCCCGCGGCCTGGTCGTCGCTCCGTCTCGCTTCTCTCTTCGGGCCGGTTCGCGGCACCCCTTGCCCCCCATCTTCGCCCACGTAACCTTTACCTTCTCGGGGGGCCCGAAGGGCCCACACGGACTGACCAGGGGTTACCGTGGTAGGCAGTGCCGCGTAGGTCAGGCCCGATCATCGGCATGGCACCGCGGGAACAGGGCCAAACGAGACCGCCGGGGTATCCGGCCATATTTATAGGCTTAAATCGAGAGAGCATGGCGACCTTCTGACGGGACACGGGACGAAAATGCGGTACAAATTGCCAAGAGGTTTTGGGGGCACCCTGGAAATGAGTCCCGTCGATTTACTCCCCTGAGAGAATTTTTCTTGTCCCGTTGTTTTACGTGCGTGTACTGTTTATTTCTTTCTTTTTTTCTTTTCCTTTTTTTAATGAAAAATTTACTGGATTTTCCGCTTGCATTTTCGCTTCGCGGTCGGGATATATTCCCCGGTTCCCTGGATTCCATCCCGGGAGAGAAATCGTAGAAATTGGCCAGGACGATCGGCCGCGATCGACCCATGAAACGGAACAGGTTCTATGCGCGTTCTCGTATGTAACCAGGTATGCAAGTGTACCTACGTGTACACATGTCCAGTCAAAGGCTCGCTTCGAGTCGTTTCTCGCGCTCTAGCGAGCTCCGAGCAGCCTATCCACCTCCTGCAGGATGCTCGGGTTAACCCGCCAAGTAGAGCTACAATGTATCCTTGCTTTTTATTATTTTCTTTTTTGCTTCAATTTCTTTTTTTTTCCGCCCCGCTTAATGCGACGTCTTGGGGCCCACCCTCTTTGTCGGGCGGATTGATTAGCATTCGGCCGTTTGTCCCGATCGGGAATCGCTATCTTTCCGGCCTGAACGTGGGGCGCGAAACACCCGTTCTCGGCGTCGCGTCGCGCCCCGACGCTCCTCTCCAGATGGGCGCCCGATTTAGGGCTCCCCCCCAAAGGGTGGCCGCTCTTTTCGCAGGGTAATTAGAGGGCAGAGGAGAACGGGCCTCGCTATCTTCCCTATGGCCTCGAAGAAGAGGCCTCGTTTCGCGCCAGACCGCAGGTTACATTCTTAAAGGCACATTAAGAGCGAACTGATAAACCGTTGCGAAATGGCATTAGGGGGTGGCTTTGGGAGGTCCTCGACGCAGGTGATTTTGGACGCTTCATCCCCTGCCTCCGACTCCGATAGAGGGAGCGGCAAGCATTAACTCGACCCCCCGTGTTGAAGTATCCCCAAAAATAATTAATGTACAATACCGCCACGCTCTCGGGCGAATAAAAATTCCCCCGGCGTCCCTTCGAGCATTAAAACCGTCCCGTCCGAGGTGCGCGTCGAGTGTCGCTCGGACGGGGGCGAATCGTTTCACGGCGAGGATGGAGAACAGCGGAGCCCTGAATAACGGCCTTGCTAATTCAATATTGAACCCACCGCAATTACGCTTCTCTCCTCCGCCGTTAAAACGGCGAATCTCCGGGTAAAAAGTGGCCCCCTTAACGCGTCAACGCTCGTTCCGCTCCGTCCCGTTCAGATGTTTATCTCGAATTTTACTCACGTAGGAAAATCCCGAATTAATATCTGGACCGAAGACTTACGTAGTTCTGGTATTTATACATTGTTTAGAGTGGCGTGGGAAGGGCTTGGTTCTCGTTGGAATAAGTTTCCGCCAACTTGGGTGGGATTTTTGCCCGCGATCGAGCCTCGAGATTGGGACTCCAGTCGTGTGTGGGGCGTGTCGCGAGATTCGCCGAAGGAGAGGCCCGGTTAGCTCGAAAGTTGGCGCGTAAAAGCCACGTGGTGTGCCGCGTGGTAGCCGGGGGAAGGTGTTACGGACCTCGGGGAGTAACCTCGTTCAATATAAACCAGCCAGGAACAGCGCCGTTACCTCAACGCTGACGTTTACGAGGACGAAATCGCGGCGCGGCTCGTTTGCCCCGCTCGGCCGGGCGTCCGTGCTTTGGGTGCCGACGGCGGGTCCGCCGGTAGAGCAGGTCGCCGGCTTACCGACGAAGCCCACCCCCAGAGCGGCACTCCACTCTCGGGGATGGATTTGCCAAATTCATGTTTCATGTTATTGCACCGCCCCTTCCTTGGCTTTCTTTTTATCGGTTGCACGGTTTCGACCCTGCTGGGCTGGCGGTATTTTTTTTATTGGGGTAATTTAAACCGATCTTAAGGAGTTTAAGTAATTTAAGCGATTCATATGATTTGAACGATTTGGATGGTTTATATGATTAGGATGATTTGCATGATTTATTTGATTTATTTGGTATTTTTCTATTCACCCGGTTAAGGATAACGAGCGGATTAGAGAGCGTCCTTAAGGAGCTATTCCCTCCCGGGGAGGAGTGTCATTTAATGAATGGCGCGGTACGCAAACGGCCACGTAATGCGTTCTTCAATGCGGTGTTTAACTCCCATATCCATTAAACGGGGAAAGCCTCCTCGTCCTTTTTCGAATGAATTAAAATACCGGATCGTGCCCCGCGATTTACGGGTGTCCCGCGTTAAAAGCGTCGACTTTTCAATCTCATCCGAGATCGTAATTAAGATTAATCGAATTACTGTGCGAGGCTGTAATTAAATCTACGCATGTCCCGGTCATGCCGCGGTTTCCTCTCGCGTGCGAAAATCGAGGAAGGAATACCGGGTTTATCAGATCCGCGATTGGCCGAATTCGTACGGATTTGCGTTAATTAAAAAGCTCGAGGATCCGCACTTCCTTTCCGCGTACGAGAACGTTCGAGGTCTCTCGCCAGAAAATTGCCACTTTATCAGTCAAATACCCGGATGTCGAGAACTCTCGAAAGAGAAGAAAACGTGTCGTTGGAAATCACCTTAAGGCTTGCCAATTAAAACTTATTACTCGCGCCTCGCGCCATTGCACCCACGTCGGCGACGCTTTTCCTGAAATCCGCGCTTGTAGGTTTCTACGGAACCGCCTGGCACGACGTTGTTTGCAACGGAATTGTAATTCAAGTACGTCCGGCGATCGGCCGCGGAAAAATAATCCCCCAGCAGTCGCATGTTCCGAGCGGGAATTTCAGTTCGGCTCTAACTTTCACGCCGACTCGGCGCGTGTTCGATTTCAATTGAAGCGAGATCCGGAAAAGCGGTGCCGCTTGCGGCACACCGTACTGGAGGTCGAGGACAATTGTAACCATTTCTTTTTTTTTTCTTAATTCTTTTCACTCTGCCCATAAATATTCATCCGAAAGAAACATCGCGTCACTGTTGTAACTTTTGCAACAAGATTCAGACCCCTTAATTACGGTTACCTTCGTTACAAGGAATGAAAAATATATTATTCGAGTCATAATTATAACACGCACGGTGCAAAGGATGAAACTATTCAAAGTAACAGAAATTCTACAATACGAAACAACACGTAAACAAAAAAAATCACTTGGATAAATTTACACACACGTTAACGGTGTTGCCAGTGTTTT